TTACATGGTGTGATTAATGTCTCACTAATAAAAATCGAAACGAAGTTTCAAAAATTTAGAGGACTATTTAAGCGGCACCAAGCGGAAGGGATGACCGCGCGAATGGAAGGTGATATCATAAGGTGTTAACCAAGCACTCGTAGACTTTTATAATGAGTAATTCCCCCTCGATTCCCGGCCGATTTCACAAGTAATTTCCACCCTGACCAAATCTGTAAAAAGCACCGTTCCTAAGTAAATATCCGCGGGGGGTCCTTTTTCTTTATTTCCTATTTGACGACTTTGCGCGACGGTGCGCCCGCGCGGGGCGACGCGACCACACGACACGTGTGCGTCTGTGTCTTTCCCACGATACGCGCCCGCGATACGGTATGACGCTTGGGGCTGCAAACATAAAAGGCAGGAAGAGGGGCGGCGAAAGAGGGGGGGGGGAGAAAGTTGGAGTCAAAGTCACAACATCAAGTCTCAGTAGGCCTCCCGCTCGCGCGGTATATAGGCAGCCATACAGCCCCGCCGAGCACGAGCGTCCAACGGGCGTGCCTACCCGGCAGGCGCCAAAGAGAGCGCCCTCACCGTAGGCCGCCCCGCCGAGCACGAGCGTCTAACGGGCGTGCCTACCCGGCAGGCGCCGAGAGAGCGCCCTCACCGTAGGCCGCCCCGCCGAGCACGAGCGTCTAACGGGCGTGCCTACCCGGCAGGCGCCGAGAGAGCGCCCTCACCGTAGGCCGCCCCGCCGAGCACGAGCGTCTAACGGGCGTGCCTACCCGACAGGCGCCAAAGAGAGCGCCCTCACCGTAGGCCGCCCCGCCGAGCACGAGCGTCTAACGGGCTTGCCTACCCGGCAGGCGCCAAGAGAGCGCCCTCACCTCACCGTAGGCCGCCCCGCCGAGAACGAGCGTCCAACGGGAGTGCCTACCCGGCAGGCGTTAAGAGAGCGCTTCACCGCAGGCAGCCCTGTCGAGCATCAGCGTCTAACGGGAGTGCCTACCCGGCCGGGGGACCCCGTTGGGCCCGTTGTCGGGCGGCTGCTCGTATCTGGCGGAGCCTGGATGCTGTATTCGCCCGCCGGCCGGCCGGTTTGCGTTGTTGCTGGTTTTGTCCGCGCCCCTTTCCGCCACGCCCCGCCACGCCCCGCCACGCCCCGCCGCAGTCCAACCAGCCGGCTCGCGTGCCCGGGGGGCACACTAGTCCTTGGCGGGGCTGTGGGAACGCGCCCCGCGTGTCGCCGACGCGCGCACTCCCGCGCACACATGTGTGCACACACACACACACACACACACACAGGCGCGCGCGCGCGCGCACACAGCCACTCGTGGGACACGCTGCGATCTCTGCCTCACGTGCGGTATGCCTGCCGCCCGCCCAGCAAGGAATTTTTCTTGCGAAGCGTATGGGTCCCAGCGGCTGCCTGGGCAGCACGTCACCGCGCGTATAGTTCACCGCGCACGCCCGTTGCACGGGCACCGCAAGAAGAAGTCTATGACTTACGCCCCACCCCCGCGCGGGTACAATACTGGGCTCGGTTTTGCAGAAATGCAAATAACGAAACCGAGAATGAGGCCGATAGCCCGGCCCCGCCGCAGACGCGCCGGCCGCCAATAATAACGAACCGCAATAGCGATGCGAGCTTGCTTCATGCCGACGGTGTTATTTCCTTTTCCATTATTTTATTGTTTTGGGGGGCAAACGGAGCGTGACTCTGCGCGCGTGGCGGCGCAAGGCGGGGCGGGGCGGGGCGGGGCGGAGGGCGTTCCTCTCTCTAGGCGTTGCATTACCCCCGCCATCCCGGTCATAATAAATGACCACAGCTGGACCGGGCCGGGCGGCCTGGGCCAACACAACAGAACGTGACCAGCCAATGAGAGTGCAGCCGGCTGGCGGCACTGACGAACATTGACCTCTTTTCGTACCCGGTGCGCCAGCTGCTGCGGGCGGTCATTTTCACCTGCAGGGCCCCGACTACGTGCAATGTGGGTGAGAATTATTTTCCAGCAACAGGTGTGTAGTTTTGCTAATGAAACAATAAACCAGTGGGCCAGTAGTGCTGCTCAGATCGGGCCGGAGACGCGAGCTGCGCGGTGTTGAACGTGGCAGTGCTAATCAGAGAGAGAGAGAGAGAGTTGCAACGTCAAAAGAAGCCAAATCGCGTATAGCGGTACATTTTGGCGGCGCTACGGCTGCCGCCTTTGGGATGTGCCGGAGGAAGTCGCAGGTCCCGCCCATCCGCGGCGGCGAGTCGCCCCACCCCGCCCCACCCACCCCGCCCCACCCCACCGCGCCCCACCCGGCCCTGCCCCAACGGGCCGCCACACCTCCACACCGCGGGTCAGATTGGCGAATAGCAGCGCCCTCCCCCCTCCCGGTCGGGCCCTTATATGGTCCCGTGTCCACTTATGTTTTCACGCCTATGATGGAGGCCAATATCGCCACGGTGAGCTAGCTAGCTAGGCGAGCAAGGTAGATACACAGCTCCAAAATGAAACACTTTTGAAAACGAAATCTCTTTCGCTTCAAACAAATTCATTGAAATGTCCTACCTCAGTGGTCAAACTACTTTGCACTTTAGTAAATTTCGAAATGTTTTTAGGTAACTCACACACATCGCACCTAATTGTCTACGGAAACCGACGGAAATTCCGTGTTTAAGGTACTTTTTTGCCAAGTTTTTTCTGAATAAATTGCGCTTTAGTTACAAAACCGCTTGAAAAGTAAAATTTCTCTTATTTGGCATACGTGAATGAATGTGGCATTCGGCAACTCGTCGTCGATCGATTGATCGGGACAGTAAGTCAGCCGCGCTGCGCGTCCTGCTCACTTGAGGCGCCCGTGACGTCAAAGTGACGTGTCCCGGCGGTTGGTATGGCGCGACCCGCATGTGTTCGCGGGCAGGTGATTGCCGACTCCCCTTCCCCCCACCCGAGCCCTTATCTGCTAGCGCTCTACGCCCGTCTCCGTCGCACCTGGTTGGTCGCATCCGCGGCCGAACGTACACGGCGGTGGTGTCACCGAGGCGGGTGAACCTGGCAGGCGTCGCTGATTATACCCGAATCAGTTGGGCGGGTGGCGTCGCGACGCTCGGAGCGTCCCCCCGGTGCGGTTGTGCGGTGACGGTGAACGCAGGTAGTGATGCGCGGGTCGAGCGCGCCCGCCAGCGGCGTCGCGGCGGACTCGTTCAGGGCGTTCCCCGGGCACACCATGAGCCCCGTGCGCAGGCTGGTGGACGGCGGCATCCACGCCGCCCTCCAGTACGCCGTCCCGGTGGCCCGGCGCCTCCGCTCCGCGCTGTCCGAGGACCACCAGGTACTGCGACGGCACCAGAACACTTGTGTGTTTGGAACGTGCTGTTCCGAAACATTATCGGGTTTGCTCTCCCAACAAACCGGGTACGAGTCCTTGCCGACGCTAACAATTAAGTTTTATTTCGGTGGGTTACTTTTCCGCGCGGCTGCTTCCGCGACAGCCTGGCGACAGCGCCTCGTGTCCCAGGTACCCGTCCACTACAAACTACCTGCAAGGGTTTCGCATGCGACAGAGACGTACGCTGATACGCCGGGATCCTTACGTCAGCGGGTTTGGAGAGGGGGGGGGGGGGCAGGATCCGCTTGGTGTCCGGCGGCATCCTGTCCTGCGGGGACCCGTCGTAGTACTCGTCGTCGGGGACCTGACCCGCAGCCCGCAGCGGCGAGCGACGTTGACAAAACACTGCGGGAGCGGCGCCGCATCTTATGGCCCATCATTTTTTAGTTTTCATAAAATATTCCCAGCTCGCCTGACGGACGCGTCTGAGGCTCAGTCTGAGCAGGCTCGGTGGGGTGCCGGGGGAGCAGCTTTCTGATCGCTCTCTCGCTGACCGACTAATCACCACCGTCACGATCACAAATTAAGAAATGAATCATCACTATCTCCGCCGATACACACACTCACAGGACGCACGCACTCTGATTGAAGCAGCGGCGTGCCATATCATCCTGCTCCGCGGAGCGCCCAAATCCTCCCTCGCTCTCTCTTTGTGTCCCTTCTCTCTCTCTTTCTCTCTCTCTCTCTCTCTCTCTCTCTCTCTCTCTCTCTCTCTCTC